TGAATCATTGGAGAAGATCATTGTCACCTATGAAAATTAGGCAAGGTTATGGAACATACCATGAACTGCTCATTTACAAGTTCAAACTAACAATAAAGAAGGTTAAATAAAATCCACAGAAACCAAAATATGACCTTGAATCTATCCCATCTGAATTTAAAAACCTTCTTAATATCAGGTTTGAGGGTTTGAACACTAATGGAAAAATCCAGAAGAAATGTGGGAGGATATCAAGAATAACATCCAGGAAGAATGCAAAAGATCATTGCAAAGACAGAGGAGGAAAAAAAGATCAAGATGGATGTCAGAAGAGATTATGAATATTGAACTAGAAGACCAAAAAGCAAAAACAGAGGGAGCTGAACAGAAGATTTCAATAGAAGTGTGGGAAGACAAGGCAAAGTATTATAATGAAATGTGCAAAGTGCTAGAGTCAGAAAATCAAAAGGGTTGAACTATCTCAGCATTTCTTAAATGAAAGGAATTGAAGAACAAATTCAAGCCCTGAGTTACAGTACTTAATGAAGCTTTGGGAAGAATACTAAATGATCCAGGAAGCATTAAAAGAACTTGGTAAGAGTATAATGAGTCACTGTACCAAAAAGAATTGGTTGAGATAGAAGAATTTCATGAAACAACATATGATCAAGAGCGTATAGTGTTGAAAGAAAAAGTTAAAGCTACGCTGAAGGAATTGGCAAAAACAAGACTCCAAAAATTGACAGCACACCAACTGACATAATTCAACAAACAGAAGTCGCCCTGGGAACACTCACAAAGTTGTACCAAGAAAACACATAAATATAGGCTCAAAATCTCTACCTCTCAAAGAAATAACTGTGAGGTATCATTTCACTCCAGTAACAATAGCAAAGTTCAGGAGAGCAACAAACAACAAATGCTAGTGAGGTAGTAGGTTGTGGATAAATTAGAATCCTTATTAACTGTTGGTGGGAGTATAAAATGGTGCAGCCACTATGGAAAGCAGTATGGCGCTTTCTCTAAAAGTTGGAAATGAAAATACCATTTGACCTAGTAATTCCATGACTAGGAATATACTGTAAAGAAACCAGTACTGCCACCCAAATGAATATTGCATTAGAACAGATGAAGGAAAGAACTGTTGAAAAGGAAAATACAGTTAAGTTTTATACGTAAGGCAATAGCCCAGAATAAGAGGTGTATCACAAAGAGGTGATAACTGGGAGATAACAGGGAGGGAGGTAATTATACAACAATGAATGACTACTTTTTTTAAAAAAGTGAACTGGAGAGGAGAAAAGGAAGGAAAAGAAATGTGTAACAATGAATGAATGAAAATCTAACTTTTCTGTAAACTTTCTTTACAATCACAACTAATATAAAATTTTAATTCAAATAAAAAAAGAAATTTGGAGGACAACCACCTAGCCAATTGACTGGAAGAGATCCATATTTGTTCCTATTCCCAAAAAGATAACCTGACAGAGTGGAAATTATTGAATAATTAAATTAGTATCACATGCAAGCAAGATTCTGCCGAAAATGATCAAAAAATGACTGGAACAGCAGAGAACTTCCAGATGTGCAGGCTGGATTTAGAAGAGGCCATGGTACTAGGGATATTATAGTAATATTAGATGGATCTTGGCTGAAAGCTGAGAATCCCAGAGGAATGTCTATCTGTGTTTCATTGACTAGGCAAAGGCATTTGGTTATATGGATCACAACAAACTGTGGCTAACTCTGAGAACTGGAATCCCAGAACACTTGATGTTATTTGTGTGAAACCTACACTTAGACCAGGAGGCAGCTGTCAGAACAGAGGAATGAAACACTGCATTGTTCTTAATCAGAAAAAGTGTATGTATGCCAGGGATGAATCCTGTCTTCATACCTTTCAATCTATATATGGAACAGATCATACAGGAGGCTGGGCTCTATGAGGAGGAATGTGGCAATAGGATTGGTGGAAGTCTCATCAACAACCTATGTAAAGCAGATGACAAAACCTTGCTTGATGAAACTGAGGGGGACCTGAGACATTTGCTGCAGAAGATCAAGGATTGCAGACTTCAAAATGTATTGAAGCTCAACATCAAGAAAACAGAGATTCTCAGCATTACAGCTACTGATAGCATCATGATAAATGGTGAAGATTGGGATTGTCAACAGCTTCAGTTTGCTTGACTCCACAATCAACACTCTTGGTACCAGTAGCCAGAAAATTAAAAGACAAATTGTGATCAGAAAGTTTGCTATAGGGACCACTCCAAAGTACTGAAGAGTAGCAATTTCAGTCTGGAGCCTAAGTCTGGAGACATGGCCTGACTAGCTATGCATCAGAAAGCAGGTCAATGGCTAGGGATGATATTAAAAAAATTAAAGCCTTTGAATTCTGGTGCTGAGAAGAGTACTGACTATACCATGGACTGCTGTTGTTGTTGTTGTTAGGTGCTGTCGAGTTGTAGACTACTCCTAGTGACCCTGTGAACGAAAGGTCTGAGCACTGTTCGTACATAGAGTTTCCATAGGCAAGTCATTTCGGAAGTGGATGCCTCTTCCAGGCTTGTTTTAGTCAGGATGCTCCAGCAAACACTGTCCACCATGGGTAAACATTACCATGTTATTCTCAATGTTATGCATAATTTATTCTTATTCACATAGGCAAATATTTCACATAGTAAAATAAATGGAAACCACTTTCTTATGCTTCCTGTTGTCAGCCAATATTCATCTAGTGTCAGCCATCATATCCCAAACACGGTGGCCTCTTCTGACTTCAGCTTGAATTTCTGACAGCAAGGCTTTGTTTTCAAGTGATTCTAATGATATTGTGCAATAATTTCTACATTGCATTGGATCAATGTTTTTCCACTATGAATACAACAATAGAATTCTTCCCATTTGTTCACCAGAGAGTTGTCTATCAAATTTCTTGCTAACGATGTATAAACCAGTTATCTGTTTGCTGAAACTCCTCATTTGGCATGCACACCAACAATTCCTATGGCCTTATTTTTTGGCAATGCCTTCAGTTTTATTTGCACTTTTTCACTACTCTTGTTTTTTAATTATATGTTACATCCTGAAAATGATTGAGAATTGACTAGTTCTTTTTGCTATAGTGACTCTGTTTATTTCTCCTCTCTTACTTTGCTACTTCTTCCTGTGTTATTAAATATTTTGCTCATGCAATCCTTCAGTATGGCAATTCAAGGCTTGAATTTATTCATCAGCTCGAGAATGTCATGGATGCTCTTCCCTTCTGGTTCTCTAACTCCAGATGTTTCCACATTCTTCACGATACCTTGTTTTATTGAGTGCTCTTTTTCAGTTTGCTATAATGTGGTAGGTGCGTACTTCTATGATGCTACTGGAGGTTATGCTACAATATTTTTAAACACAAGCAGTGCGCTTTCAAATTAAGATAATCTAGAATGCAGGAGTAGTTGTCCAATTAAAAATAATGGGGGGAGATGTGCCCTCAAGTCACCTATGACTCACCAGCCCTATACCCTGACCTGATCTATTCTGTGCCAATTTCACTGTCTCTGACACATCCACCCCCATTACCCCAGTCACTGTCTCATCAATCAACCTCATACAGAGTCTTCCTCTCCTAAGCTGTCCTTCAATCCTTCCAAGCATGATGTCCCTCCCAGAACACTTGATTCTGCTTATGTAAAACCTATGCTTAGACCAGGAGGCAATTGTCAGAACAGAGCAAGGAAACACTGCATGGTTCAAAATTTGGAAGAGTGTGCGTCAAGGATATGTCTTATCTCCATATTGTTTTAATCTATATGCAGAACAGATTATCCAGGAAGCTAGGCTTCCTTTTTGAGGAAAAGTGTGGCTTCAGGATTGGAACATCAATCAGGATTCATCAACAATCTACGTTATGCAGATAACACAATGCTGCTTGCTGAAACTGAGAAGGACCTGATGCTTTCTGCAGAAGGTTGAGGACTGTAGCCTTCAATATGGATTGAAGTTCAAATCAAGAAACAAAGTTTCTTACCACCGGGCGGCAGCATCATGATAGATGGAAAAGAGATTGAGATTGTTAACAGCTTCATTTTGCTTGGCTCTGCAATCAACATTCTTGGTATGAGCAGGCAGGAAATTAAAAGACAAATTGTATTGGGAAAGTCTTCTGTCAGAGACCTTGCTAAAGTACTGAAGAACAACGATGTCAGTCTGGAGACTAAGAAGCATCTGATACAGATCATGGTCTTTGCAATTGCTTGGACAATAACTAGGGATGGTAGAAGGAGAATTGATGCCTTTGAGCTGTGGTGCTGGAGAAGAGTATTGAATATAACACAGACTGCTAGGAGAACTGAAAATTCCATCCTGGAGAGGGTGAAGCCAGGCTGCTTCTTGGAGGCAAGGATTCTGAAGCTTCATCAGACATACTTTGGACATATTCCAAGGAAGGATCAGTCCTTGGAGGGGGATTTCATGCTTAGTAGGGTGGAGAAGCAGGGCAGGAGAGGAAGACCCTTGATGAGATGGATTGATTCAGTTACCAGGGTAATGGGTCTAGGTGTGTCAGAGACAATAAGATTGGCAAGAGATAGAGCAGGGTTTAAGGTCACTATGAGTCCCAGGCAACTTGATTGTACATAACAACAACAACAACAATATAGACTGAAAAGATATGGAGATCAGAAACCTCCCTAGTGTATACCCTTCCCAATTTTGAACCATGCAATGTTTCCTTGCTCTGTTCTAATGACTGCCTCCTTGTTCAAGTATAGGTTTCACATAAGCATGATCAAGTGTTCGGGGATTCCCAATTATAATTGATTTGATGAATTAAATATGTTTTCACATTCTCTTACATTTCCTTTTTGATAAATTTATTTTTATGCAGATTTTCCCCCACACTTGACTTCATTGACATTATATTTCATACAATCATTTTCATACATTGTGTTTTATAAAATTAATCACCATTGGACTATTCCTGTCATTACCCCATCTTTTACAATTATATATAACACAAAACTTACTGGGAGAATGTTCATCCTCTTCATAGTAATCTTGCTTACCACTTCTTTCAATTTCTGGAATCTGCAAAAAAAAAAGGAATGAAAATTTTAAAAGTAGGCATTCATATTAATAAATATTTTAAAAATATTTATTTTTACATATTGTTGTTTTGTGCTACTGAGTCAACTATGGCTCATAGCTATTCTGTGCATAGAAGCTCTAAACCCTGCTCTATTCTGAGCCAATCTCACTGTCTCTGACACAACCACTCTCATTATCCCAGTTATTTTGCTAATTCATCTCATCCAGGGTCTTCCTCTTTTGCACTCTGAAGAGGTCCCTGACATTAGATTTTCCTAATGTAACTCGTCTTTTGATTTCTTGACAACCAGTGCCAAGACTGTCAATTGTAGAACCAAGCAACCTGAGATTGTTATCAATCTCAATCACTTCTTCATCCAACATGGTCATTTTTACATATAATAATGAGAAATCGATACTGTGGAGATTAAAAAATAGTTCCAAAACTTTTGTAGAATGTTAAATTTTAAGATTAAGATTTGATTAGAAACATTAACTCAATTACGAATCTTTGTGTATGCCATACACAATTAATCAATAACAAAAAGTACTAAAAGTAACTTGGCAAAAGAATATTAGTAATAAAAAGCATATCTGTTTAAAATGAACATTTATCACAACTAGTTTGTGACTCAAAGCACCAGCCATGATATTTAGGTGCAAAAAGGCAGAAATGAGTAAATGGATGCAATTATTTCCATAAACATGAGCTTTCTTTTCAAACATATCCTTATCTTTCACCAATTCAAAAGACATTTTCATTACATCAAATAATATAATAAAGTGAATGATAATAAATTTTATTTTCTAAAAAAATTATTGCTCTTTAAAAATTAGAAAATATCTCTATTCTGCCACCATCACCCAGGCATGGCTGAAGACTTCCGTATATTAGGGTCATAATCCGTTAATGAACCTTGTTTTCACACTTTGCCTGAAGCTTACAGAAAGACTATTCTGAAAGGTCTCCAGTTTGTTTTCCAGGAACAGAGAGAATGGTGAACTGAATAATAAGAGCACACCTGGTAGAATCATATACAATCTATCTATGTTTGAACATATACTTCCACAGATTGGTATTACTGGATATCCAGAGTTATAACAATGACATACAAGGCAACAAGGAATTTGGCAGCTTTTCAATAGAGAAGATGAAAGATTGAAAGAAATTTTGCCTCATCCTGACGAACACTTAGTGGAATGTAACATTGATGAAGTGGGTATAATGAGTATCACCTTATTAGAGCACTGAACTTTTATCTATACTCAAAGCAATTTGGAAATATTTCTATCTTCACTGGGGATGTTAATTTGGTGGAGAGTGATTTGAGATAGGACATCATATAAATTGGAAAAGAGGATCAAACTGACAAAGATGTACTGATTTGAGGAGAAAGAGAAGGAAACATATATTGTGAAGTATTGAAAGTAAACAAAAAGAGTATCACTAAGGAAGAGATTGAGTAATTGTTGATTGATGTATATAAGAAATAGACACAAAAAAACTCTTACAGATGTGTTAGACAATCCTAAAGGAGAATTCCATTAGGTTCTAATGTTATTGTTCCTGTTATATAATGTCTAGTTGGAACTGATCCAACTGAACTCATGAGGGATTTAGAGACTGTAAATAATACTGAAGGAGGTTAACTTTCATTCTCTTATGGAGTGGTTGGTAGACTCAAATTGTGAGACATTGGATTGGCAGCAGAACTTCTTAAACATTAGACCACTGTTGATGTTGTATGTGTCATCGAATTGACTCCAACTCATAGCCAGTGACTCATGTCACTGCCCTGTCCTGAGCCAATTTAATTGTCTCTGACACCCCCACCCTCATTATCCCAGCCACTGAGTCAATCCATCTCATCTAGAGTCTTTTTGTCTTGTGTTGTTCCTCCACCTAAGCATGATGTTCCTCTGCAAGGGCTGGTCCTTCTTTGCAACATGCCTAAAGTATGTCAGATGGAAAGCTCCCTTAAATTGCAGTACTGAATTGCATGTCATATAAAAGAAAGTCTGTTTATGTGATTAATCATTTGATGGTATCAATCTCCACATCTGCAGGGGAAGATTCAAAGAGGTAAGTTCTCAGACTGATTGCTGACATTTCAATGACAGCATTGAAACTGTATGAGAAATACTTTAACACAAAGGAACTGTGTCAACGTGATGAAAGCTGTGTTATTCTAAAAAACAGCTCAGGCCCCTACATTGACCTATTGAATTTCCCAAGGGCATCATCTGTCCCATTAATATTGGAGTTGGAATTGCTTTATACCTTGTAGATCAACACAGGACTTTCAAAATGAGTATCACTGATCATGTGTGCTATAACTAATCATCCTGAATTTTGTTTGCTTTGAAGTAAGTCAAGTAACTGCTTGTGGATTCCTAAGGGTTAATTGTTAATTCCTTTTTTTTAAAAGTTCATTTGCTTATAAAGTTTGTGTACATTGCGTTTCACACTATTCTTCATTCACATTGTGTTAATTTTTAACTTAAGAAAAACAAAGGTAAAAATCATATACTGGTGCACTAGAGTGATTTTTTGAAAGTCAGCTTAAGGATGATCTAGAAACACAGCTACATAGAGCTTTTCATTTTTGTGTGTTTTTGCTGTTGTTATGTGCCATCGAGTCATTTGCGACTCATAGTGACCCTGTGTACAAGAGCCCTAAATGCCGTTCTATCCTGTGCCAACCTCGCTGTCTCAAATATATTCATTCCCACCACTCCACTCACAGAATCTACCTATCTCATCGAGGGTCTTCCTTTCTTGCGCTGTCCCTCCACTCTCCCAAACATGATGTCCCTCTCCAAGGACCAGTCTCTCCTTGCAACATGCCCAAACTATGTCAGAGGAAGCTTCAAAATCCTTGACTCCAGGGAACATTCTGGCTTCACCCTCTCCAGGACAAACCCGTCTGTTCTCCTAGCAGTCCATGGCATATTCAACACTCTTCTCCAGCACCACAACTCAAAGGCATCAATTTTCTTCCTATCATGCCTATTCACTGTCCAACTCTCTGATGCATAGCATGTAATTGCAAAGACTATAGTCTGGATCAGGCGCACCTTAGTCTCCAGCCTGACGTCGTTGTACTTCAGTACTCTTGAGAGGTCCCTCACAGCTGACTTTCCCAATGCAATTCATCTCCTGATTTCCTGGCTGCTGTTACCAAGAGTGTTGACTGTGGAACCAAGTAAATGAAAACTGTTAACTATCTTAATCTCTTCACCATCCATACTGATGCTGCCAATTGGCCCAGTGGTGAGAATCTTTGTTTTCTTGATATTGAGCTTCAATCCATATTGAAGAACGCAGTCCTTGACCTTCTGCAGCAAGCACTTCAGGTCCTCCTCAGTTTCAGGGAGCAGGATTGTGTCATCTGCATAACACAGGTTGTTGATGATTCTTCCACCATTCCTGATGCCACATTCCTCCCGTGTGAGCTTTGGCTTTTGTTTAGGAAGATTTTTCAGTTTGGATGTTTGGTGAAAAGAGCTTCTTCATCACTTTGTTTCTCTGGCAAGTTTTATCATTTTTCTTTTCACAAAATTTACTTAGACGGTAAGATTAGGTGCTTATAAAGAAGGAATTGGAAAAAATAACTTTTCCCATTAAAGTTACAAAAGAGAAAAAAATAAGAAAAACAGAATTTATGTTTGTATTTTATGTCAGTTCTACTATATGAGGGGAGAATCACTGAAAAAAGAGAAAGAAACATGTTGTCTATTGAATTGCTAGTCTTGGTTAATAATTTGTAAAGAAGATATGACATCTATGATTATGTGACATATCAGTGCCCATAGGGAAAGCCAAGTAATACTGTTAAGAGTTTTATTTGTGCAAAATAATTTAGAAAAAAAAGTGGAGCTCAGCTACACTTAACAGAGGTCGTATTTTTTTACAATGAACTCCAAAGGGTTATTCAAATGATCTGTGATTTTATTCTTGGGAAATTTTACTAAAATCATTAGGTGATTTGTTATGCATTTAGAATATCCCTATGAAAATTAGAAGCATTCATATCAAAGTATTGTTATGTATATCATAGTCTTACTACACCAAACAATTTGATTTGCAGATTCACTTTACTAATTTGGCTTATTAGTCACTTTGGGCAATAGAAGCAGAAACTAATTTATTAACTTGAAAAAAAAAAATTCCCCATGTTTACAGAAGGAGAGGAGAACCCAAACGTTAGACAGCTTAAAAACAAAAGTGTGTTTAATGGATTTTTTGTGAGTCTTATATAATTACTCTTTTTCTGTTTAAACTACTTTTCCTCCTGACAGAATGAATTAAATATTAGTTAAAATATCATGTCATTTTACTGGAAGATTGACATGTTAGTGGATGTTTTCATGCTTTTGTATTGAAAGCATAGTTTTAGTACAGCTTTTTTTGGTTTCAAATTAGTTGAACCAACATACATGCAACCAATGTACCAAAAAATAATTAATCAACATTAGATCACTTCGAGAGGTAGTATATGATCAATATTGAAGAAAGAAGAAATCCAATGTACAATGAAGGTATTGTCAAAACACAAAGTCTCACGGAAATGCATCAGAAAACTGGAAAATTACTCGCGATGATAGAAGAAGAATTTAAGTTATGGTGCTGGAGAACAATACTGAATATACCATGGATGGCTAGGAGAACAAACAGGTTCGTCCTGGAGAGGGTGAAACCAGACTGCTTTTTGGAGGCAAGGATTCTTAAGCTCTATCTGCTACACTTTGGACATGCTGTAAGGAAGTACCAGTCGTTGGAGAGAGACATCATTGTTATGAGCAGTTTAAGTATAAGAAAATATATTAATTTTGCTGTAACACATATTCTGAAATATCATAAATTTGCTGCTAATTTTCTGTGAAACATTATGAAATATATTTGTTGTGGAAAAAAAATGAGTGTGCTATGATGAATGTGCTGTTTAGAAATAAGAATATTTGTAAAAAGATATACTAAGAGTTTAATATGCTTTAGAGGCCTAGGGCCCTATTTACCACAATAGGCGTAAACCCTTGATAAAGGAATATAACTGACAATAACTTGCCTGTAAAGCCAATGGCTTCAGCATGTATAAACCCATGATGAGGGACTGTAAGTTGTTACTGCCCATGTTGCTAAGGGAACATAACTTGTAAATTTAAGAATAAAAAATGTTAGGAATCTGTTATATTATAAGTATGAATAAGAAATGTTAGTAATCTGCTGTGTTATATGTTAGAAATTATGTTAAGAATATTTGTGAAAACTTACGGAACAGTTGATTTGCCTAAACAGGCCTCTAGTGGCTCTAGGGCCCCACTGAACACAACTGGTGTGAACCCTTCATAAAGAGCTATGACTGGTTACTCCCCATGTTGCTAAGGGAACATAACTTGTATTGAACATGATTGGTCAAACTCATACTGTTATTCAATATGTCCCACTTGCCTCACCATAATGTAAAGCAGGGAAGCCAAAGTACATAAAGGCTGGCTGTGCCCAGAAGATCTCTCTCTGCACTCCACAATGAGCTGAGCACAGAAGACCCAAAGGCTCTCTTCAGAGCCAAAGATCCAAAGGTTCTTATCAGAACTGAAGACTGAGAGGCTCTTTCTATAGCTGAAGATCCTGGCCACACCAATGACTATGAGCTGCTGGACTAGCTGAGGCCCATCCATACCAGTGGCCATGAGAGACCAAAAGGAAGAGACAAGTTAGGCTTTTAGGAAGTGAGAGTTTTTCACTCACTATCCTATAAATTATATCTTATATGAATTTATGAATTGCAATGTAGATAAATTTCAATTAACTGTTTAACACTTGCTATGAATTAATGGATCAATATGTTATGATGAATTTATGAATTGCAATGTAGATAACTTGCAATTATTGATAAGAATTAATGAATGAATCAATAAATTGTAATTGGCTCTTGTAATATGTCTATGAGTAATTAATTAAGGCTCAAGGCTTGTGACACATAGTACTTGGGAGTGTGGAGAAACAACACAAGAAAGATAGACCCTGGATGAGGATTGCCTCAATGACTGGGGTAACAGGTTTGGGTATGTTGGAGATAATGAGGTTGCCTCAGGATAGGGCAGGGTTCAGAGCTGTAGTACATGGGGTGGTTATGAGTCACAAGCAACTCCATGGCACTTAACAATGAGGAAGAGGACTGATGACAAGGTATTTAAGCAACAAGATGCAAAACTGGAAGTTTTTAGTCTTCTGTGACAAGAAATATGAATGGCAGTTAATGACCGATTGACAATGCCCTTTCCAAAATAAATGATAATACATGTATATTTTGGAAAGTATTATTAATATTAAAAACCCACTTTTCTGATAATTTAAATTTCAGTGGTACATTGGCAGAAAATTGAAAGAAATTCAAGTCAGATTTAGAAGAGGATGTAGAGCAATAAATATTGCTGCTGTCAGATGGTTGAAAGTACAGAATACCAGAACAATATCTACTTGTGAGCTATTGACTATGCATATTAATTCCTCTATATGGATAGTTACAAATAATAGAAAACATTGTGAAAAATGAGAATTCTGGAGTGCTTAATTGTGTTCATGTGGAATCTGCACAAAGTCTAAGAGGCAGTTGTTGAAATGATGGGATATTATATCTTTTAAAAGTAAGAGATGTATAAGTTTGGGTTGTATCCTTTTACAATACTTATCCAATCTGTATGCTGATGAAATAATTTGAGAAACTGTACTTCAATATTGAGAAATACTCATTACCAATCTACTCTCTGTAGATGATGTGAATTTTCTGGTTGAAATCAAATACATGCTTGAAGTATTTATTGAAAAATTCAATGACTAGAGCTGACTGCATAGATTGAATCCCAAACTCAAATAAATAAAAATCTTCACACCTAGATCAATAAATGACACTAAAATAAATAAATGAAACTTAAAGTTTTTAAAGATTTTATTTTATCTGACCCTATAAGCAACATTTATGGATGCAGAAGTTAAAGAATCAAGTAGTGCATTGCACTGGGTAGCTCTGCTACACACGCTGGGTTGTGTGGTTTTTTTTTTTTATGCTTTTCTAAATTTTTTTTTTAACCGTAAAGAAGTTAAGATGTCACTGTGATGGCATGATATCACCCAAGCCATTGTATTTTCAACTGTCAGATATGTATACAAAAGGTAGATAATAAGGAAGACTGAAGAGGAATTGATACCTTTTAATTATGGTATCAGAGAAGAACACTGAACATATTATAGATTACAGAAAGAACGAATAAATCTGTTTGGAAATATATCCAGAATGCTCATTAGAAATAAGGATGATCACTATTATAGACCTGTTATTGATATCCTTTTTGGCAAAGTAGAGAGTCAAGGAAAAAAAAAGACATTCAAAGAAATATTGAAGTAGTGACTGCAACAGTGGACCCAAACACAGTAATGATGGTTAGAAAGGAACCAACAATCTTTCTTCTGTTATAAAAATCGCTATGAGCTGTATAGTATTTAACAACAAATACTTCACTAGATAAGTCAAGATTACATATGGATGGAAAATGCATAATACTCTCAAAACTACATAAAATGTTTCATTAGTTGAATACTTTCCAAAGATGTCAGAATTATGTGGAAAATTTTTCACACTATGAATCTAGACAATAGAGGCTAAAAATAAATATGAATTAATACAATGGTCATTTCACTGCAATAGCAGTGACAAAGTTTAACAGGACAGCAAGAAATAAATGCTGGAGAAGATGTGGAGAGGTTGGAACTCTTATGCATCATTGGTGTGATTTAAAAATTAAACCACCACTTTAGAAGGCAGTTTAATGTTTTCTCAAAAAAAAAAAAAAAAAAAAAAGAAATCCCATATGACCTAGCTATCTCACTGCTAGGAATAAACCCAAAGAAAAAATAGAACTGAGGCAAAAATGTAAGTTTGTATAGCGATGTCCACAGGATCATTTCTCACAATATCAAGAACATGGAAACATCCCAAATGCCCATCAACAAGTGAATAGATTGAAAAATTATGGTATATTCACATGACGGAATGCTATGCAGCACTCAGGAGTCATGATTTCATAAAGTACTATATAACATGGGAGAGACTGGAAAGCATTATGCTGAGTAAAATAAATCAGCCTCATAAGGACAAATATTGAATAAAACCATTATTGTAAAAACAGAAGTGCAGCAATGAAAGAATGAAAATCCAAATTCTCTGTAAATGTTCATTAAAATTATTTTAAAAAGTTAAGGAGGGAAGGGAGAGGAAAGCAGGGTTCTGAGAGTAGGGAGGGGCAAATCATGGGTTGCAGAGTTTTGTGGGCAGAGGATAAAGGTGATGAAATTGAGATGAATCTAGTGGGGACCTGAAAAGATGCTGGGATAATGGGCATAGATCAATAGTAGTTAATTTTATAAAACATAGTTTAAGAATGATCAAATGAAACCCAAAGTGAATGAAGAAATGTATGAAGCACAATGTACATGAGTGAAAACAATGTATGTGAGTTTTGTGTGCAAACCAATTTAAAATAAGAGAAAAAGAATATAATAGATAAGTGTGTAAGTATATGCAAATGAACAGAGATGAAAATCTATTGGTTTATTTATTCTACTACAGCTTAAAACTTTTGACAACTGTACAAACAAAAGCTCAAATTTAAAATAAAAATTCTCAAAGGAAACTGTGTGGAAGTATTTAGAAATATCTCAGTCAAAACAAACAAACAAGCAAAAAAGAAATATCTCACTGTGACCAATGTGCACACTATTATTTACAAGTGATATTCTCTGTAAATTACATAGAGTACATGCTTGCTTAGAAAATAAAACTAAATATTTACAAATATTTATCCTCAGAACAAATATTTCTCTACAGAATCCTTATACAACTATAATTATTTTGAAAATTTTATTAGCTCTTTATTATAATCAACAATTCTCTCAAAGATAAGTATAATTACATTGTGACATCTATACTGTGACGCTGATGTGTCAAATGCCTTAATGGTTGGTTACCCATGGCAGACAGTGTTGGGTGAAACTCCCGGATTAAAACAAGCTTGGAAGCAGGAGTGGCACCCACTTCTGTAATAGCTTGCCTCTGGAAGCCCTATGAACCTGGAGAGAGGATGAAAGACACACAAGTGTTGAGGACTCCCCTTCATAGGGTCACTATGAGTCGCCTGGACTTGAGACACTTAACGGCGAACGACGTATCTCTCTCTAAAATTCATATGTAATGTTGAAGAATAGAGCATATACTTTGGAGTAGGAAAACCTAAGAACAAATCACAACTCTATTACTTATTGTTTGACACTGCAAAATACTTAACTCTGAGCCTCAGTTTTCTATTGTAAAAAATGTGGCTAATAATAACCATGCCATTATAATTTCTGGTATGTCAAACTAGAATAATACAAGGAAAACATACAGCATAACACATACCACCTGATAAAATTTCAACAAATATAATCCATATAGATTAAATTTTTCATATATATAATGTGTATCTACTTTTAAGTGAGTATTAGAATTATGTTGTAAACAGTCAATAATTAACTACTAATTTTTTAATGATTCTCAACTATAGAACTTCATCAATTCTGTTCCAATAGAGAAAAAACCCACATAACATTCTAAAGTAGAAACTTTAATTGAAATATGGCAGCTTTTACTTTGCTATTAAAAACACACCATAATTTATAAACTAATAGTGTTGCTAAAAAGCAGAGAAAAATAGTTATTTCATGTTTGAGTGAGTATCTTTATTTCTGAGTCTATAATGTTACTTCATTTATTTACCAAATATTAATGTAAGCTTGTTGTTTTAAGGAGCTGTGGAATCAGCTACAATTCATAGTTGTAGTTGTTGTTATGTGCCGTCGAGTCACTGCAACTCATAGTGATCCTATGTACAACAGCCCTAAAGCCTGCTCTACCCTGAACCAATCTCACTGTCTCAGACACACCTACCCCGACTACCCCAGTCACTGAATCAATCCACTTCATAGAGAGTCTTCCTCTCCAGTGCTGCCTTTCACCTTCCCAAGCATGACATCCTTCTCCAAGGATTGGTCTTTCCTTGTAACATGTCCAAAGGATGTCAGATGAAGCTTCAGAAT